TTTTTTTGCCATATCTTGTCTTTCGGGGAATGCGACAACCGAGATCCTGCGCAGTGTTTTTTTTTTTTGAAATAAAACGGCTATCCAGTTCGTAGTTTTCGATAAAAGAACGTTCCGTGAAGTGTACACTTTCTTCTATCCAGTTTGTCGGTTTCGATAAAAGAACGTCCCGTGAAATGTATACTTTCTTCTTTCCAGTTCGTCGTTTTCGATAAAGGAACGTCCAGTGAAATGTATACTTTCTTTTTCCAGTTCCAATTTGTAGTTTTCGATAAAGAAACGTCCCGTGAAGTGTATACTGTCTTTTTTTTTTGGCAGTACTTCTAAGACTAGTATCTTCTTAAAGTTGGAGATCCACCATTATTGAAATTTCAAAACCTCGCTTAGGGGATGTGTGGAAAGCGTAAGATAAGTGAACGTGTGAAAAAAAATGTAATCTTTTTTAAAAATTTGATCATTCGCATGATTGGTACCAATCAGGTCTCATCAAAATAAATTTTTTCGAAAAAGCGTAATTTTTGAATCATGTGATGATAAACACCAATTAGATCAAAAATACATTCAGTTTCTGATAGGTTCTAAAAAAGGGCCACTAAAGACGTTTTGTTCGACAAGCGAAAAAGCTTGTTGGAGAGGTTAGCGGCGCATCTCTTCTCATCTCGTTAAGGCTTTTCTAAAATATCTCAATTTTTTATTATGCAAACCAATATTCATTCATAATTGAAAAATGTAGCCTATCTCAAAATTTATTTGAATCATGAAAAACCTCGATTTTGATTTCTGGGGGAGTTTAGAACCTTTCTAGTGCAAAGGCTCAATATAGCGATTAAAAAAGGAAACTACTCTTGCACAAATTGTAAACGATTTCCTTTAAACGCTAATAATTTTCTTAATTATAGGTAAAACAAAAATATTGTATGACTTTTTATTTGTAAAATCATAGATTGGATATTTACTGACAAGTTTGGACGTCCCAATGGGGTATTCGGTGTAGTATCATATAAAAATTATTAATTTATTTGTGTTTGAATTTAGGGTATTCGGTGTAGTATCATATAAAAATTATTAATTTATTTTTGTTTGAATTTAACGCTAAGGATCGTGATCTGATTATTTTACCATTTTTTGTATTTCGATAGTAAAGAATGACGTGTGTTTAGATGTCTAGAGCGAATCTCTTTATCTTTTTCAATTATTTTAGTATAAATATATTCTTAAACACGTTTATAATAATGCTACATTGAAATTTTTTAATGTTAATATTTAAATTCCAAGTTGATTTTTTACAATTCGTTTCATATTGTGTACTGTTAACACCTGTAATTAATCATGCGACATGTTAACAATAATGCATTACAAATGTTATTAGTTCTATTAGTTCTATTATATACTAGAATTAATAGATATATTAGATATAGCAAAGCTAGTAGATATAATAGTTAAATAGTCATTATGAGTTAAATGTATAAATAACTTCATTATCGCTCTTGTAAAAGCATCAGTTCAACGACTCAATGATAAATAAAGAGTAATCGTGTCTTCATACATGACTAATTCAAGTAAAACATTAAACTTGTTTATACTACTACCTGCATCTTCATATACATTTAGCCGTTTGCTTCTTTTGTCATCTTAACGAGTAATAGCAATAAAACACATTTTGTTTAAAACATCCGTCATTAAGTAAATTAGTTATATCAACTTATAAGAAGTTGATTCGGGTTGCAAGTCAAACATTTAATACCAATACCCTGACCTCTCACATGATAAAATTCGTACATAATTAAACATTTACATAAAAATGATATTTAATTAATAATTCAAATATCTTTTTTTCTTTACTAAACATACTGGTGCTAAGAAAAAAAAAAAACGAAACATCCTTTTATGAAAGCACCCAGATTTTATTCAATTTATAGAGATCCATCCAACATTCATAAAAAGTTAAAAGAAACCGAAGAAAGTAATGATAGCAATGGTGACGATGAAGTCAATTTTGAAAGTAACGAAATCGATGACAATGAAATGTTGATAAAAAATTACGAATAAAACAAAGACCAGGCCAATTCATTTACCCAAACTCGATCTCGATACCATATTCAAGGATTGTTTATAATGGTTTAAATTTTAACTTTACTAATTGTAAAGTTAAAATTTTTCTTAGCAGTTAAATTATTATAAAAAACATCGATATAAATTTTAAATCTTTGTAATAAACTACCCGGATCGTTATTAAAGGGTAATTCCGGCTGCGCTCAAAAATTATAATAATATTTTCCCGTTATATTTGTGCACATAATAAAAGAATCGAGTAAAATTCCTCCTGACTAGGGATGGACTCGGTCGGTTACGGTCGGTTATCGGTCGGCTATTACCGGCTAGCCGATCATAGCCGGCTAGCC